TCTCAGCGGACACCTGTTCTTTAATCCAAACACGTTCCACTAAGTGGTGCAGCGCATGTATCAACACGCGTCCGCCGTTTTTCATTACTTCTGTCGGTATCTCACCAGAGCTCCCGAGTCAAACTTGTACACAATTCGCGGAACTTTCCGCTTCTTTGAGTCGCCATGGTCCTCTTCATGCACAGCAGAAGCTTCATTCTTGTATGACACTAGTCCGCCAGTGGTTGCACTGTTGTCATCAAACCAATCGGACCGTCTATCATTTACTCACCGGATCTATTCCTCAACCACAGCGGTCAAGTTTCTTCAAGTCGTGCGACGGGCGCAGACTGAATCCGCGGAGTCGCCGTTGCCAATGTTGGTAGCCATCCCATCCTCCAGTTCGATCCTCTTCTCAACGGTGCGTAGAAAACGAACATTAAATTTTTACCGAATCACGGTAGGTGCCCAATACATGGATTTACGAAAGTATATCTACAGCTTGGTCCGCACCAACTTGTGATCAGCCGCACACTGACATCCACGCAGTACACACACCATGCGCTCGTCAAGCATATTGCGCTATCGTACATGGACATAGTCGAGCGGGTTAATGTGACCACTCCTTTGGGTGCGTCCATGTAGCAATGTGTGCCTGTGATGACCAGGCCGTGAGTGGCACACAATGCGAGTAGGCAATCACTGTTCCGATTGGCTGGGCAAGTACCATGGGGACCGATTATGTCTGCAAACGCAGTGGCATCTCTTCTAACGCGCACGTTGAAATCATCCGGTAAGAATAGTCGCTCGCCCCTCGGCACAAACCGCATTATGGATGATAAATGATAATAAAACAGATCCTTTGTGCCATCAGGACAATCCATGGTGGGACCATATATGCTAATAAGATAGTAGATGAAGTGTCATTTATCTTGTTCTAATGCCAGTTTTTGCTTTTCCATCAGGCATCCATTGAAGCCAGCAGATCTGACAAATCCAACGCCTTATTCACTTGGGGCTGTGGCGCCGTTTCCCACTCAGTAGTAGATGTAGCCAGTATCGTCGTCGTGCAGCTTCCTTTGGTCAGCTGGCCGAGTCTTACCGAGTGAGGCAATATCAATGCCGTAGCAACAGTCCTGTTTTCTCCGCAGTTAATGGGACCTAGAGCCTTAGAGAAAAGACTTCACTGCACCGGGCAGTGTATTGCCTGAACGTCAAATCATACGATGCAAGTAGGACAGCTAAGAGGACATGATGAGAAGGTGTGTCAGGCATACCACCGCATTTGCTCGGATTTATTAATGAGCCTAAACGTTTCCTCACATTCGGATCGTCAAAACCAGGGACGACTTTTATCTAGCAACTCATTCATCTGCTCGCGAAGACGATGCATATCAGAAACAAATGCACTGTAAAAACTCACTATACACAGGAATGATTGAATGGTAAGTATATCATATGATGCAAGTGGTTCCTCCACGACGCTCATTTTTTTCATTATCAGGTCTTCTTACGTCACGATCAACAGTAGCATCAAAATATTTCCGTTGAGACAAACAGATGACATTTATCGGCTCTCATGGTCAGACCATTTTTCCGTAGGCATTTTGTCTAATGATACGACGATGATATCATCCAAGTATGCACAAGCCGATGATATGTCCGCTAACATCGTATCCAATCGTTGTTGTAATATACCCGAGGTAATAATTTGAACAGTAGCCGAATGTACTGGAACGGGACACGCTTATTGTTAATTGTCGGAAGACGCCATGCGTTATCATTGACTATCACTTGGTGAAAGACATCCTTAGAGATCAATCTTCGAGTAAATTCGATTGTTGTTGAGTCTGGCGAAAAGATTCCCTGAGAGTGACGGTGGGTATTGATGGAGATACAAGGTTGGGTTCAGACTAGTTGAAAAACCTCCGTATGAGTGGATAGTTCCGTTTGCCTTTTCCATTATCACTATGGGCGTTGCTCAATCGGAGTATTCTATTTTGGAGATCACCCCTGATCACTCTAAGACATCCAATTCACACGAAACTGGTCTGTTCGGTCGAAAAACAGTTAGCGTCGTCTTTTAAGTAAAGAGATGCCATGAATTTGGTGCAACGGCCAAGTCTGGGGCTGAACTCCAATGGCAATTACTCTTTTATATTGCAGGCAATTACAGAATTCTGCGCTGCGTAGCAGCTGGATCGCATACATATTCACTGGATCACTCCAGAAATCCGACTCGGTGATCCCATCGATATCAAGTATTTTACTGTCGGGTTGTCAGAAATACGACAGGCACTATTACGCTTATCATTTTTGTAAACATATTCATAGGAAAATTTTCCATACAGCCATACGATACTGCTCGATATAACCCTTCTGTATTTTCCGCTTTTCATAGTATCGGTCCATTGATAGCCGACCATGTCGAACTGGAGATGACGATAATGTCAGACGTAGTGTCTAGCTATTGGCGCACTGAGTGACCATCTCTTGTGACGGTGCTGCAATTACGAATTGAAATAAATCCTCCCTGTGCAGTCACATCAACCACATTCGAGTCCTCTTTGGTTTTGCGTTTCTCAGACGGTTTTGTGTGGTCCACACAATAAGAATGTCGTGTGACCGACCTGCAGTGTTTATCTTTATGAATCTATGGCAGACGGTGTACAAGTGATTGATGAACAGATTGCTTCTGGCAAAATCTCACTCACCAAAATTGAAGTAAACACGGGAGGTTTCTTTTGGGCCATGGCCTAACCTGTTTTTGGTCTTTTGGTGGAAATTGTATCAACCATCGCTATCTCTCATTCCATTTGTCTCGATCGTAACATCGTTGAATCACTTTAAGTTGACCAGACGCCGACGCTGCAGCAACGTCCTGAACTGTGAACTCTAGAGATGTATCCAGTTTGGATACCAGACTAGTTCCGATTTCTGCGTTGGCTCCACAAGTTAAGCTAAATACAAAAGCAGATGACAAACTCGACCGCTGCAAGTTGTTTGGGCTTGAAAGGTTCGCAAGGTTCGCTTCGGATACATAATCCTTAGATTGTTTTATAGCCAGTTTCAAACACTGATAGCAGATGTTAAAATTTGGTGAAATTGCGACTAGAAGAGGAGGTGTACTAGAAGAAGCAGTGAGATGGGAGGCACCAACAGTAGCCTATTTTCGCTCATCCGCCCCGCAGATAAGGCGGCCCCTTTTCGTCACTGCGCGACGGTCGATTCAGCTTGTGGTTATATGTATTTTCCTGATTTGTGTTATTTCTGGACAGATAGGTTTCCAGGGCCTCGACACCTGAACAGAATAACGGCTCGGGTCCTCGGCTAAGGCCTACAATAAAATGTACTCCAGAGAAGCAGCGGTAAACGCGCAATGCATCAATCAGCTTATAGAGATGTGTCTTGGCTCTTAGCTCGATATAAGGTGTTACCCTGCTCGCAACCGTTAGTCATCACAAATTGGTTACCTGAACGTGAGTTCACAGCACAGCTCAATTTACTGTGAGTCTATAATCTGACAGAATCTGGCCATCACATGCCTCTGCAAGCCATGGACTCTCGCTAATATATATATATATATATATATATATATATATATATAACCGATTAGAACGGTTGACGAAGTTATCTGTGGTTTTTTTGCTGCGATGCTTTTTTCAGATTTTAACTCACTCCCTATGCGTTCCAACTCCGAAGCTATCGGTGGATTGTTCTGAATGCGACCTGGGTTATATCACCTATCTCGCTTCTGTATTAAAGATAAGCTCCAATAAATACTTAAGATTAGGTGCCATCATTCACGCGGCTCCTGCAAATAAGATTTGCGTCAGTAACATCTTGCTATAGGAGTTCTCTTTGGTCTAGTCCTTGAGAAAAGTGAGCTGCATAATGTAGGTCTTTTAAATGCATCTGTATACGGGATGACGCATTCTGAATTTCACCCGCTTTACCACTTTAAACTACGCCAGTAGGAATTCGTTCACACTCGCCCAACGCACTCAATCGGCGATGTCCACATTAGTGGGGATCTTAACCGTAGTCCTGTTGGCCGATTGCTCAAATGAATGGACATATCCTCATACACTCGGATTTCTCTCAAGGTATGCATCTTCGCGATGGGGCGATAAATTCATCGCTGTCTCAACTGTGGGCTTGCTCAAATCTTAGACACTAGGTTCAACTTCTATTTGCTCGAATCCAATATTATCACTTGTTCTGGCTTTTCCATTGTTTTCGGATTCACATCTTTAAATCATACGCCCGAAGTATAGCCGATTACACAAATACACGTTACTTTTTGGACCAGGATATCCAGTCACTTAGAAACTATAGAAGCTCTGACGAAGTCCGCTGTCTTTGAATGGATTACTATTTTTTATCTTCGAACAATGGAATTCCATCACACTGTCACTACGTTCTTCTCTTCGTTTTTATTACACCGCAGAAATCTTCTCATTTTGAGAACAATCGTCGCTTTCTTTCTTGTCATAACTAGCATTCAAACTTGGCCGTCTTCCAGCCCTGCTGTTCCCTGTTAACTTGCTTTTTTAAATGGCCACAGCCTGTCGACTGCCCACTGCTTTCTTTGAAGCACAGGTAGGGAATAGAACGTCGTTATCCCTGGCTGTTTCATCGACAGGTTCAACTTTCAACCATACCAATTCCATCAATCGAATTATTTTTGATTTCATATCCACACTATTCGCTACTACCGAAGATGGCGAATTACTGTATGTATACGGACACTTATAGCAATTGGTATAGAGAACTTTCTGTTTCTGCTTACTTTCCCTTTATTGTGAGCCTTGATCTTGTGGCCCCTCTCAACCATCTGACTTTTCCGCTTTTAGTTTCGTACAAGCTATTGTCTTGTTTGGGGATCATAAATGACATACTTGTTTGTTTATCGTTTCAGCTGTTAACATTTCACTCTCGTATTTTTAAAGATTTCCACTATATCGTCATTGTTGTTTTGTACGCATCCATCTATCCTACTATTGCTCCATTTGATCCAGGAAGCATTTGAAGCTGTCTCTGTCATACCACCCACACAAAAGACATCGATGATTCCGTTCATATCATCTAGACCCCGATGGTGCATTTCAAGGCAACGCTTTTGGGGAGTCCCCATTCCTGTCTTGTATCGAAACTCAGACGGTACTCCAATAGTGGATTGGTATGTATTTCTATCTAGTTCTCCCTTTCATCACTTCGAGTACACTACATTTTTCATGGTGATTTTGCTCGTTAACACAGAGTACGTCACTTGATAGCGTTCTTTATTGCTACCGGTATCATGGGACGCCAGACCATGCTAACTCTCTTTCATTATTTTAACTGACCTTGCACACCTTTCTGCTGTTTTCGTGAATCACTGGCAACTTTGGGGTACTCGGATGAAGTCATTCAACCATGCGCTTTCTTCTTGAAGATAGTTCATCGCTATGCTTTTGCTGTTTTGTGAGTGTGATTCTGAGGTAAAACTTCCCGCGAGGTAATATCGTATCCCAGAAATCTGATCATAGCTGTGCATGCATAGCAGTTGTTTACCCACTCAACTATCCCACATGTTGACGTTGCGCCCGGTTACCTGTTTATTTGCCGGGATGGTGCATGCTGTCCTTCTGGATTGGACCCGCTGGTTCGATCATCTCAGGAATGGGAGACTTTTCCTGCAAATCGCAGTCGTGAAGTTAGTGCTACCGTTGCATTCGTTCTGTTTCCTTTGCTTTTACTTCTTCATCCTTTCTAGATCTGTCTCTGTTTTGTTTCTCCCTCCTTTTTCTCCATTCGTCTTTGTTTATAATGCGTGGTTTTAATTCTTCGCACTTTGGAGCTTGATGCACGTTTAACTACCAGCCAAACAGAACTGATTCGTCTCCGTTTCCAGACTCCTGCTGCTCTACACAGCAAGCCCCACTTATGTGAACTGCCCGGCTTTTCCCTATTTTTTCTTCGTAAGCTAGCATAAGCGCCTGACTGTTATATGGCTTCATTTAAATTTACCCACAACTTAATGAACACTGAGGTTAATTTGCCTCCATCCTCGGGATTTACGGTGTTTCAGTGATAATTAGATCGTGGGTAGCTTGCTGCCAATCCACTGTACCTCTCCATTGTGTTTCCTTGTGAGATTTACGGAAGATGATATAGATTTACTGTCTTAACTAACTAAATAACTGGTTTATTCCCGTAGTACGCGAGACACGCCTAAACAGGTGTGATCATTGAAGTACAGAATTTTCGATGAGGATACAATATCGCACGTCAGATGCTGGTCAGACACTATACTGATAAGTAATAGTGACCAAATGTGGGTACACAGATTAACTAGGTTAAGTGAACCCTGCTTGGAATAGTCGGAAGAATTTACATTAGTTATGTATGATTGGATGTGCAAAGTTATACGATCAAGCATGCGTTTGAATAACTGAACTGAACTGCCTGCAATCAACTGGGCGTCGTAGCAACAAGTTCCTCGACTGGATTGGTGTCTCGAATGCAATGAAACATGCGATGCAGCAGCATCAACACCTAATTGGTCGAGTAAGTTGTTGCATTGTGTAGGAGTGAGACAGCATGCAAAATCGTGTCCAAATCGGAGACCTATCGCAGCACAAGCTTAGTGACGAAACTGGACCTTAACGTGGTGCTACGGATTTTGTGCCTTTGTATCATTGAGCTTTGCTAGGTGGTGCTATTTGCACCTTCAGATTGGTCAATGGTTAGAGGCCAGAAAAACTCAATCTCCTGGCCCTCCAGGTTAGGGTTTGGAGTAAGGGTGGCTCCTTACTCCATAAAATGTACTCCTTCTAGCCTAGTGCCAAGACCCCATGCCTTGCAGTAGGGTTTCTGAACCTAAGGCTGGTTGAGAACCCTTATCGTTCTCCTGTTTAGACCTGGGAAACCGGACAGTATTCTGCCCACGCTATACACCTTGATTTTTCCTTTTAACAATCTCTTGATGCTCTGGCCTTCGCAGAGTATACTAAACGGTGCCCTATCTGCTGCATCCAGCAGGGTGGATAGGGGTTTGAATGCTACTGCTCAAGCCTTCCCGTCTTCTTATTCCTCCTATTACGTTTTGTCACTCTTATCATCCAACTCCAACTTCACTTTTATCCACCCTGTTTTCAACCTCCCAATTCTCACCCCCGTATTGCTTAAATAGTCGCTTATCTTCTAGCTTCAACTCACACAATCGCAGAGCGTCACTCCAGTCCAGTCGACAAGTCCATGTTCAACCAAGCGGACAAAGTCAGTTCAACCGTTTCTCTCTGGAGTCCTCGATCCTCGCTAAGACTGACATGCTTCAACGTACGGACTTTGTTACTGTGTTAACGTTACTCAACTAACCACACACACTCATGCGATTAATCGAATAGCATTGTCACATTGGTCCATACTAACTGGCCTTTTATTCCTGTTCTGATTGGCTCGTTTTATCGTTTATGCTTTCCACTTCGATCTATATGTCAGAATACTATTTCCTATGTGTCATCCGGTTGTGCCTTCTCACTCCGAGTTCGGGACTATGTGTCCAACTACGAAATAGCAATGCTTGAGCAATAGGTATCATCCTGTCTACGCGTATTACGAACCCGCTGCCGGGGCTGTCATTTCTATGGTTCGATGTTTCAGCAAAGCCCTCCTTACAATCATGAATGCAGTGGAAGACCTATTGCCAACATCTGATAACCCTTTCCCTGTGTTGTACCCTTCTATTGAGTTGTCCGCACCCACCGGATAATGTTATTTCCCCAGGCATTTGGTTCAGAAGGATAACAACATTTTGACACCATGAAGTTAATAGCTACTACGAGTATCGTACACTTGATCCAGTTCTTCGAGGAGTTATGGGGAATTCAGCACAGGGTATTTTCTGCTCGTTAGCAGTTCTTCAAATTACAGCGGCAACGCGGAGAAAGCGTAGATGACTTAATTGCGCGCATTCACCAAGCGACACGCGTGTCGAAGAAGTCATGAAAATTCATTGCCTTATCGTTGGAGTTATAGATGATGTCCCGAGAGAAACGTTACTATCACAAGAGGAAGAAAGCCTTTCTTGGGAAACCGCTTGCAACGTCGTACATCAAAGAGAAAACCAGAAAACTGTTATCCACATTCAGCCCTCTTCAGCGTACGGAGTGTGTAAACCAGCTGGCTCCACTTTTTTCCTCCGAAAACAGGTTACGAAAGTTCATCTGCTACCGATGCGGTTACCAGTACACCCCTACCCAGGGCCCTCTCATTCACACTAAATGCAGGAATTGCGGAAAAATTGGCCACTTGGCACGTGTATGCCGTTCGCCACGGTCACAATCTTCGATTAAATCGTTGAACCGTGACGACGGTGAGTGTCCTTATTGGCAGTCCACTTTTATGAACCACATAATTGCAAATTGATCCATTATGTCGAGAGTACCTGCATATAGAGTCACGCTACAGGTTGATAGCGAACCAGTTTTATTTGAATTGGACACCGGTTCCGCTGTGACATTGCTTATCGGAAACGCGCTCTCATCATTGCCTAATCTGGAGCTGAGTGAGACCGTTTTCAAAACCTATACAGGAGAAGTGATTGACCTACTTGGGAAGTGTCAGGTAGGAGTTAAACACCAGGGTAAATCACACAACCTAGTACTTCATGTTGTGCCACATGCTCCAGTCAATCTACTGGATGAAACGGTTCTCACAAGTATTAAGTACTAACCATACTGTGAGGGAGGACACTATGGACTCGGTTCTTAAGCGATATTCAGACATGTTCAACGAACACCGGTTGGGAAAACTGAATAATTTTCAAGCAACGATTCTTATGTCGGACTCTACTATACCTAAATACTTTAAGTTCAGAACGCTGCCTTTCTCCTTACGACCCAAGGTGGAAGAAGAGTTGAAAAGGCTCCAACAAGCTGAATGGGCTACAGCAATAGTCCGACGGTGTACAGATTTGTGGCGATTACAAACTAACCATAAATCGCGGTGCAACCATAGACCGTTGTCCACTACCTAAAATCGAGGAATTGTACACCACCTTATCTAGCGTGGTCAAGTTTCCCAAACTGGATTTGAACCATGCTTACTCCTAGGTAGAATTAGATGAAGCATCTTGCCATCTTATTATAATCAGTGCACAGTTTTACCTCTTTGAATGTATCTGACTTCCTTTTGGAATTAATTCAGCCCCGGCTCTCTTCCAAAGCACAATTAACAACACCGTGCGTGATTTACCGAACACATGTGCATACCACGGTGGTCTACTAATTGCGGATCGCACAGAAGAGAATCCCCTTTGCACCTTGGACCAAGTGTTTCATACACTGTCTGAACATGTTTTACGTTTGAAACGCTCCAAATGTGCTTTTATGATTTATTCCTTTGACTACCTTGTTTATCGGCTGACTAAACATGGTTTACCGGCACAGAAAGACAACTTGAGGCCCATTATTTCTGCTCCACCTCCAGGTAGCGAAGCACAGCTACGTTCGTACGTTGGCATGTTATCGCATTATCGTCGGTTCCTTCCCGACCGTGTTTCTGTTATAGCACCACTTCACGATTTGTTAAAGAAAGACTCCAAGTGGTCATGTGGCGAGATAGAGGAACATACATTTGAGAAAGCTTCTTCATCAATGTTGGTACATTACAATCCCAACGAGCTTATCATCTTACAGTATGATGCCTCGCCGTTTGGGGTGGAAGCAGTCCTAGGGCATAAGGTTCACGAGGGAACCATTCGTCCTATTACTTTCGCGTCCCGCACGTTACAGGCTGCTGCGAAGAATTATGCGCAACTAGACAAAGAGGCACTAGCAGTGATTTTCGGAGTCAAGCGTTTTCGGCAGTAGTTCTGGGCTAATCGGTTTGAGATACAGACTGGTCATCAACCGTTTTCCCACCTCTAGCTGACGTGTATAATGAAACCGTTGATCTCACTTCTCGGTGAGGGACAAGGTATAGAACAAATAAACACAGGCCGAATAGTACGCTGGACACTTCTACTTTCTGCCTGCAACGATCAAATCCGATGCATCGCTGGTTCTCACCTTAACTTTGCTTACACTCTCAGTAGATTAACACAGGTTGTTCAACAAAATGAACAACGTGGAGCGTCATGCTAGTTTGTTCGACTGTTACAAACCCTAGACACTACACCGATATCCAGTGACATGA